GGGGGGAATGAAATATGAAAATATGAAACATTCTTGTTTCATATTTCAAACAATGGAAACAGGCTCAAATCACGTCTTGGACTGTCAAAAGTAGGTGTTGCTTCGAATGGAATATGGTTTTGAAAACGATAAAAAAGATTATTAGGTTTTCCTATTTCCGGTTTTCTGGTATTTTTAACTGGTCCCTGCGTGTTCTTTTGCTTCTGGAGGCTATTATTGCCGCTTTCCTTCCTTTTCTTTGATTTACAGTGTCTTAATTGTCAGCTTAGTTCTTCTGTACAAGTGGATTTGACAGCCACACTGATTTGGTTTCAAACGAACCTTTGGACTTCGTCCGAATTCTATCAGTTCAAGCTATTAGCTGGAAAACTTCGTAAACAGTCAATTAAAGGATAAAACGCTCCGGGTTTTTTTCCATTTCCCAAATTATTGTAAAATTGTAATTATAATTTAACCGATGGGTACAATTCTTGAATTTTGTTGATGCTATAATTCTCGCACTGTGGTCTTTCCTTTTCATGCACTGTAAACTAGTTCATTAATCCTGCATTGTGTTTTTCTCCTAAACTAATAATTAGGCTGTATTATATATATACTGTTTGATGAATAAATCTATCGTATTGTGCTTTTAATATGATTGTATTGTGCTTTTACTTATGTGCATATCACGAAACGTTTTACCTACAATATCAAAGTAGCAGTCCTTTTCATGTGCTGACCTTGAAAATTATACGAATCGTTAGAACTTGATGATTTTTCCCCTTCGATTTTTTTTTTTTAGATTTACAGGTTTCACAAGTTTTTTAAGATCTACATATAGGATCAAGGCTGGAGTAGTTTGGAACAGTTCAGAATGCAAGCACTGATCCTTCTTTTGCACATTACGCTTTTTTCAGGAAATGTCGTTAGCGTTCGCAAAAGATGCCCAGGCTAATGCAAAACCGGATAAAGCTACGATCCAGAGGCTATTGGATGAAAACAGCCAGCTTATTAAATTAATAATGCGATATCAAAGCATGGGAAGGTATGTAAATGCTTCGTTAATATTCGGTTTTTGTGAAAAGAGCATACTTCCGATAAAAGGATGGCCGGTGTAAAAGAGCCAAGCTGCTACGGAGACGCAA